GTTGGTATGGGTATAGCTTGTAGCTGTGAAGTCTCTCAAGTGGTAGTAGTAGTAGGAACTTGATGTTTTTCTTCTTCTTTGACTTTCAACACAACATATATATATATATATATATATATATATATATATATATATATATATATATATATATGAAACTGTTTAGTCGCACAGCTAACTTTTCTCGTTTATGCGTTTTCCGTCTTTCGCACGTTTTCATATTTTCCATTCTGATCACGAATTAATGTAACCTGAAATAACTGATAATATTTGTTAGATAATACAAAAATAGTTCGTCTTATTTCAGTGATGGTCACATACAAGGTCACATAAAAAAACATTTTTCAACAGACAGGAAATAGAAATACAAGAAACCTGCTGATTGCAATGGCAATCTAATATTGGGTCGAAGCACCTGGATTTTTCCTTTCCTCTTCCGTGTATTTATCCATAGATGGGACAGCTTATATTCTAGCAACCAACCTCGATTAAGATGATGACTTTGTTTTTGATCCTTGAGCCATATCCTTCCATTACGATTGTAGCCTCTTTCTCAAGATCCATATCCATCTTTATTCCATTGCTTTGTCTATTGGGGTGATAAATCGATTATTTGATAAAATTGCTCTTCCTCTTCAGGTTAGATCATCAGCTACATCAGAAGGTGAGCCAAATGAATTGTCGATCTCTCCAAATCATCCATTTTTTAGCTAGGGGCAAAATTGTCCAAATTGTCCAATTTAGCCAGAAACCATCCAGAATCTTAGATGCAAGCTTAGCTTTTGTCTAGTACTTGCAATAGAAACATGACCTTGTCGACTTTGCCAGCTCCAAACAGCAACACATGTGTTGTCTTAATCAGGTTCAAGTTCCAATTTTCTTCAATACCTGTAGAGTAAGATGCAACACCAGAAAAAGGAGAAGAAAAAAACGCACACCAAGAATTCTTATAATGTCCCCCATCCCACAACCCCAATTTCACACGAAAGGAAACCACCACAAAAAAGAACCTAATCACAACCGTTTCCTAAAGTATGTCTACCCGATGAAAGAGACTCACACCAAACGCACGTTGGCTGTAATTAGGAGCATCACCAAGGACCCCAAAATCACCAAAAGGAACCCAAAACACCCCCCCCCCCCCCCTTTCTTAGCTATTACACTCAACTATCGGATCACAACACCATTTCTCCCATCTAGTTTTTTTATGTTTGCTTCTTGAGTTGATCCACAAATGGCTTAGTATTTGTATTTCGTTTACCAGAATTTTATGTCATTTGACTATGTTTGAGTGGATTCTATCGTTTCTGAACTTCCAGATCACCCACATGTATATCAACATAATTGCTTCCTGAATTTGATGAAGGTTACCCCTGCTCGGCGCTAAGTTTCTGCAATGAAGCATTTCATTCAATGAACCAAAAGTTAATGGGAACATATACCACCATTTCTGTACACAGCTCCAAACTTCTTGTGAGATAGCACATTCAGTTAATAAGTGTGATTCGGATTCCTCAGCTATATTACATAGTGGGCAGGTAGTCACAGATACAATACCCCTTTTATTTAGATTTACCCTGGTGGGTAGCCGACTATGACAAATTCACCACGCTAGGATATTCACTTTACCAGGGACCAGGTTGTTCCATTCCCAAGAACCAGCTAGTGTTTTTGGCAATGTTGTTTCATCGATGAATCTCCTAAGAGAGGCCACAGTATATATCCCTGAGGGTTCCAGGTTCCAGGTCATGTTGTTGTCTTGCCTGGCTGTCGTTATTGAGAAGAGATTACGGAGATTCAGATTATCTTTAGACAAGAGGTTATGGAGGTTCACAATGCTACCCCAACAATATCCTTTCCTCTTAGCTCTGGAAGGGGCATTAAATCCCCCATCATTCCCATATATTGATTTTATGACATCTTTCCAGAGCTCATGTTTTATGGAATAGAAACGCCACCACCATTTACCTAATAGTGCTAGGTTGTGAGCCTTCAGACTGCCTATGTCAAGTCCTCCATCTTTTTTCATTGTCAAAATTTTATCCCATGCGATCCATGGTACCCTTTTTTTCTCGGATGACCCGCCCCAGAAGAAGCGGCATCTCAATTTCTCAAGTGTTTTTAGCACCTTAATCGGAGCTTTGTATAGCGAGAAGAGGAATGAGTCGAGGCTCCCCAACACTGATTTGCATAATGTTAATCTACCCCCAAATGACAAATTTTTGGCTTTCCATTTTGACAGTTTTGCTTGGAATTCGGATATAAGGGGATTCCAATGAACCACTCTAGACATACTTGCACCCACAGGCATTCCTAGATATATGAAGGGGAGGTTCCCGATTGAGCAGTTAACGCTTCTTGATAGATGTTCTAGTTCCACCTCTCTAACTCCAATGCCAAAGAGTTTGCTTTTGGTTATGTTGACTTTCAGACCTGAGGATAATTCAAAGCATCTCAAAATTCTAACTAATTTTTTTGCGTTTTGTATTGACCAGGATCCAAGGAAGATTGCGTCGTCAGCATATTGAAGGTGTGATATGTTAGGTCCATTGTTTGGTAATTGCACTCCTTTAAATATGCCCTGCTCTTTGGCCTCTTCCAGCGCTATGTTAAGACCCTTTGCAGCCAAAATGAATAGAAATGGAGACAAGGGGTCGCCCTGTCTTACTCCCCGCCTAATTGGAAATTCTTTGGAGGCGGATCCGTTAATGATCACCGAAGCACGAGCTGAGGAGAGACAGCCGAAGATCCACTTACGCCACTTCTGGCCAAAGTTCATTTGAGCCATTACCGAATCGAGATATTTCCAATTGAGGCAATCGAATGCCTTCTCGAAATCGACTTTGAATAGAAACGCCTTCGATTTACTCTTCCGAAGCCAAGATATCACTTCGTTTATAATCAATGGACCATCAAGAATGTTGCGGTCTTTGATGAAAGCCGTTTGGGTATGGCTAACGACTTGTGGGATACATCTTTTCAGCCTTTCCGCTAAGACTTTGGCTATGATCTTATATATACATCCAATTAGACTGATCGGGCGGTATTCACAGAGGGAAATCGGGTCGGATGTTTTGGGGACAAGAATGATGAAGGAGGAGTTACATCCTCTATCTATTACACCTGAAGATTCGAAGTCTTTGATTGCTAGGTATATGTCACTTTCCATCATGTCCCAGTGTTATTTAATGAAAGCAAAGGTGAAACCATCAGGTCCAGGGGCCCTATCATTTCCGCATAGCCACACCGTTGCTTTGATTTCTGCCGCTGTAATTGGGTCTTCTAAGTTTTGAGTTTGAATAGTGCTGAGTTTGTTGAATTTTTGGCTGAGGAATTGAGGTCTGCTGCTGATTTGTTCAGTGAACTTTTTGGAGAAGAATTCAAACGCTTCTTTTTTGATTGATTCTAGATTGGATGTCCAGAAACCATTGATGTTAATGCCAGATAATTTTTGAGATCAATAATTTTTATTGATCATCCCATGGAAAAAATCAAAGTTTTCATCACCTTCCGGTGCCCATTTACAACGGGATTTCTGTTTAAGGTCGAGTATGCGTTTGGCCTCAAGATCCATCAATTCTCTGTGTAGATTCTTTCGGAGTTCGATCTTCAAATCATCTGGGGAATGCGATTCTACATTAATATCGATTGAGTCGATTTCCTTTGTTAACTCTTCCACTCTTTTTTGTTCCTTCATATTTTTGGATTTTCTCCATTCCTTGATTTTCTCTTTGGTATTTTTTAGTTTGCCAGCCACCACTTGTATAGGGGCGAAGGAGGTAAAAGCTCCTGTGACTGTGTTACATATCCATCCTTGTTTAACAACTCCTTCCAGCTCATCCTCTAATAGCCAGGAATTGAAGAATCTTAATGGGGGTGCCCCAAAGTCACTATAAGATGATGAGAGGATTAATGGACAGTGATCAGAGTGTAGTCTTGGAAGGGTCGTAACTATCAGGTGCGGCCAATCAATAGAGCAGTTATGTGAGATTAGGAATCGGTCAATTTTGCTATGTTTGGAGCAGTCTGAACTCATATACGTGAACTTTCGGCCACCGATAGGAAGATCAATTAACCCCGCAGAGGCTATGAACTTATTGAAGTGATATGCAGTGGAAGAGCAAAATGAGGTCCCAATTCTCTCGTCCGCTGAACTGACTGCATTGAAGTCTCCAAACACCACCCATCGAGTGTTATCCTCTGAGCATATGACTCTTTCCAGGTTTGACCATAGCGTTTTCCTTCGAGATGGGTCATTTGGGGCATAAACATTTATAAATCCATATGATAAATTCGAGGCGATCCAAGATCCTTTCACTGCTAAGAAATTGTCCCCTTTTATAGTTCCAGAGCATTGAAATGTTGATAGGTCCCATAGTGTGGCTATTCCCCCTGACAGTCCGATCGAGTCAACTATTTCGCACAAGAATGATGGTGAGCCCCAGATTGCCTTGTCTAATTTTTCTTTAAATTCTGAGGTTTTTTTTCTTGGATTCCAAGTATCGATATATGATTTTTAGTTCTAAGGGTTTTGATCCATTCTCGTTTTACCTCACACCCGACACCTCTGTTGTTGATGGTGAGAATCTTCATTGATTAACAATGGTGACACTCCTTTTCTTGATGATGTTTCTTATTTCCTCTTGAAATCCATTGATTTGAAATCCAATCCTCTCTCCAGTGGCTATAGTCTGTGCTATCTCCTCGTTTGTATTTAGAGAGGTTTCCATTCTATTCGATTCCATTGTGTGGTGGTTTGGGGATTTTGATCTACCGTGTGATTCTGTGGTTTTTGATCTTACTGGAGATAAGTTGAGGTCTATGAATTGATCATTATTTATTTGTACTATCGGTTGGGGGATCTGGTGATAGTGGGATTGGGGATTGGGTTGTGATCCATTAGGATCGACTGGCACTTGGGGTTGGGCTCCAGCAAGCTGGTCGGATATGTTGTGTTGGGCTACCGAGTTATAAGATTGGGCTTGCCTGGGGTGGTTTTTGCCTTATGGTTGATTTGGGGATAGAGGACGAGAAATGAGATTAGAATTAGGTTGGGATCCACTACTTATTTTCATGTTCATTATATTGTTTGATACCCTATGGGATGGTGATTCGTCGCTTGGTTGGTTATGAGTAGCTGGCCTCGGTATCTGCAATCCTTGTGATTTACGAGGATGGATAGTGTGTGGGAAGGACTCTTCCACTACCGTTTGTGGCGATTGAGGTGTCGATTCCCCTTCTGCCTGGTAAGCATGGAGTTCCGCCGAAGCCGCCGGAATGGGTATGCCGTCAATGTCTCCATCTGCGTCGATTTCATAATCTCTGATATCGTCTACATCTTCGCCGACGGATCCTAAATCGTCGTCATTAACGTTCCATAGAGTGCTAGGATAGAATTCGAAGTTGTTTCTTGCCGGAACTGGACTTAGTCTGGAAGATTCGAATATGTCCTCCATGATTGTGATTTGGTACGGGAGACTGTCAACTGCTATGGTGATGTTCATATTGATGAGTCCTGGTGAGATGTAAGGATACCTACTCGTCCAAATGCCATGTTCGGGCAGTCCGTTTGGCATTCATCTGGGATTACCACCGTGCCCCAATTCTTGGCTATTGTTGAAAATGCTTCTTCACACCATGCATGTTGAGGCACACCAGAGATCATGATGGAAGCAATTCTCTCATTGAAGTTTTCTTCCGGTTTCCAGTGGTATAGATTTTTGAACCATGGTCTCCATATATGCTCTCCTCTGTCAACATTTTATTCTTCTCTGACTCACTTTCAAATTCGACAAGCATCTTAAGACCCCCCAGATATCTCATAACAATGTTTGGGCATCCTTCGACATCATTGAAAGCTTTCACGTTCATTAGGGTTTGAAAGTTTTCGGTTTCACCTATGAGTGCTCTCTTCAGAAATTCCTTGGTTTCCGGAGTGGATGACATTTTGACCATTGGCACTTTGTGCTGCGGTGCTTCTGGATGGTTTGTGGTAGGTGGTGAGTATGGGTTGAGAGGGATTCCTTGGACTGCTTCAGCATAGGTTTTGTAAGGAGGATGTTGATTGGGATGGTTGATTCTTCTGTGGTGTTTTGTTATATGGTGGTACGTTCCTGAATGATGATGGTTGTATTTTTCTTGGCTGTCAGCCATGATAGGGTAGGATCGTTCTGGGTAGTCATGGGGTTGGTGTCGGGGTGGCGGTTTTCTACGTTGGAATCTTGCTAAGTTTATGCGAAGCTTGTGTTGCCCAATCCAAATATCGTTGAGTTTCCGTTCAAAACTTGTAGGGTCGTTTATCTTGATGAATCTTACGAATCCAAACCTCTTGTTTTTTATGTTCTTTTTCTTTGCAATGTATACGTCTACTACCAGACCATATTCTTGAAATATCCTCCATAAATCTCTTTCTTCCAACTGATGCGGGAAAATTCTGGAAGAAATAGGATATTGCTGATTTGTTTATGTCTTCATTGTCTTCTTTTCTCTTCCGACGCCGGACTTCCTGCCACTCTCCAGTTTCTCTCATTCTCTCCTAGTAAAATGTCTAATATGATAACAAATTCAACTTTTATATCCTTTAATTGGTTCAAGCATCGTGACAATCTTAGTAGTCTCACTTGGGATGTATGGTGTTGTTCTCCTCTAATTAGCTCTAGCACATTGCTGGTTGCACTGCTTTTAATTTAATAGTATCCACACTTCTAAAAAAAACTTAATCCTTCTTTAACTACCGAGGACGTATTAATCCTTATAATATGATTGTTCGTATTCTCTCACAACATTAAAGATTGATCAACTCTTCAAATTGATAAAGTTCCACTTCACTTTAGATGTTATTTTGAAATATTTGTTGTCCTTCTCGCTCTCACTAAATAAACACAAAACAAGGTTAAAATTGAACTCAAAACTTCATTAAAAATACATAGATTTACAAAACAAATACATGATTAAGATGTTAAAATTTTAGCTATTTAAGTCTTATGATTATGTAAGATCAATGTAAAACACGAGGGAAAAAACTTGTGGAACATTTTAAAACACTTCACGAAATTCTACAACAATGAAGATCAGTAAATACATGATTTAAATTGATTTCACTAACGGTATTTGGAGCGACAATGTAAAGTATTTGACAACTTCGTTTAACATATAAACATTCTGCCGTCCACCATTTATCCAAGAAACTAGACTTCGCTCAATTGCAATGCATTTTTTGTGATGTTGATAGTTATTTTTTTAATAAAATTTTATACGGTGATCATCTTTATATCGATGATTTCCATTTATGATGAATTTTGTAAATATGCCACCAAAAAATATATTATTATGTAATAACATTATGAATTTAAAAGTATTTAATGTTTAACACAATAGAAATGTTGAATGATTGGATATATATATATATATATATATATATATATATATATATATATATATATATATATATATATATATATATATATATATATATATATATATAAAGTATGATAAAATGAGAACACCTAAAAGGTTGAGAACGCGAGAACAGATCTGGACCATTTAAATATTTAGATCTAAGGTTATTATTAAACGGGCGATTTATGAAAAATTCTAAAACTACGGGCATTAAAGTGTAACTTTTAAATTCCCAGAAGGGCATAATAGGAACTGCAAATTTACATATTTCCTACAATTTCTCACCCTCTCTCCTCTTTCCGTTCATAATCTTGTATCTTTATCTCCCTCGCTCTCTTTCTAGGGTTTCAAAATAAACGCCTCTCTCAATGAATTCGGTTCCCTTTTCTTCCCTCTCTTCCCATCGATCGATCCTCTGCCGTCTTACCCCAACTTCAGGTTTGAACCCACGTATCAAATTGGCGACATTGGATTCTAGTTCCACAACAATCATCGACGATCCGACATCGGCTTCCGCTTCAGAAGAAGAAAGTCCAGCAAAGATCCGGCGAAGATCGGCGCTAGGGTTAGCGTAAACAGCCAAGGCATCAGTACTTTATGTTATTTCGTTCAAGAAATCAGTTAATGTTATTTTGTCTCCGTGGTCGACGAGGCTGAAGAGGAGGAAAGGAGGAGGCAGCGAGGGGTGGGTTTTCGGTCTCGGTGGATCGAAGATGGGGCATCTTTGGTGATTGGTTGGATCAAAGAGAAGAAGAAAAGAGAATGGAAGCAGCGGGATGTGGGGTCTGCCATTGGTTTCCGCCTCCGGTGACAAAGCCCTGATATTGGGTTGTTTGCTGATCGAGAAGGGCAACAACGATTCAAAAATAGGTAAGGGTTCCTTTTTTTTTGTTCTTGTTTGATTTGGCAGAACTCGATAGGCTAAAGTGGGTCTTTGAAGGCTCAAGTGACAGCCCTTACAATTGATGGAAGAGATAGCCACACAATGTTGTAATCAGATTCAAGGTAAAAGGTTGTGCACATAAGCAGTTTGATGATATGCGTGAGAGGGGTATTCATTTATGAATAGCAGGGTATTCATTTGCTAATAACAATGTATTCATTTGTAAATAGCAGTGTAATCATGTGTGAATGAGTGTATTTTATTTATGATTAGAGGTATTGTTTTATTCATTTGTGAATACCAGGGTATTCATTTGTTAATAACAATGTATTCATTTGTAAATAGCAATGTAATCATGTATGAATAAGTGTATTTATTTATGATTAAAGGTGCTCTTTTATGAAGAAATGATAATTTTTACACCACTTTTATTTTCAGTTAATTAAAAGAAAGGAAGTGGATTATTTGTAAATTGATATGTATTCATTTGTGATTGCAGTACTATTAGTTTTTTTGAAAAAAAAAAATCGTTTATGAATACAAATGTATTGATTTGGGGTTGGATTTCTATTAATTTTTTTGAAAAAAAAAACGTGAAACATGAGAAAAAAAATTTTAAGAGAAAAAGTTAAATTTTTTTAGTTTTAATTTTTTTTTTTTGATAAAAATGTTTTTTTATATTTCATTAATAAGAAAAATAAAAAATCAAATATCTTCTTTTTTGGTAACTGATCCTAAATTTAAGGGAATTTGATTGATTTTATTTTATTTTAATTTAATTAAAATATGCAATTACTTATATGTCCTTATATATTAATTGGTCCAGAATTGTTTCTGCGTTCTCAATCTTTTAGGTGTTCTCATTTGATTATTTCCATATATATATATATATATATATATATATATATATATATATATATATATATATATATATATATATATATATATATATATATATAAAGTATTTAATGTTTAACACAATAGAAATGTTGAATGATTGGATATATATATATATATATATATATATATATATATATATATATATATATATATATATATATATATATATATATATATATATATATATATATAATTTTGTAATAAAACAAAGTTTTGTGGAGTCCAGTCAAAAGTACAAAAAGACAAAATAAATATTATTGAAAAGTTTACTAAAGAGGAACATATTATATATTTTTCAAACAATTTGAAAGAAGGTATTGTATTATTTTTGGACACAGAAAATAACATCTAACAACTCGATTTTGTTTGTATAGTGTCATGTCCAATATTTAAATACAATTATATGCTGATAATTTATTAAGTTACTCTGGTTTTAAATAGGGTTAAATACGAAAAGTATTAAAACTTTTTTTCTTTGGTGTGTATTTTAATAATTCCAGTCTTTTCTATTAAATATAATAATAATAATTTTAAATTTTCTTTTATAACTTTATATTTTCAAGATCAAAAGAAATTTAGATATTTTTCTTAATGATTTATTAGTTTATTGTATTTATCAAATGTTTTAAATAATGTGAGACGTGAGGTGACAAACCACAACGTTTGTTAACGTGCGATTTAAAACGATAATTTTGTATATAATTTAAAAAAAGTATATGTTTTTCTAATATTATTCATTTTTATTACATATATCACTTTATGTATTTTCTGAAATCCTAGCTGTTTACCCACGTCAAGCGTCTTGCGGTAAAGAGTTATTTTCGGTAAATAGTTTTAATGTGATGATTAGTTTCCTTTAGACGTGAGCTATTCATTGTAGTCTTTTGATAGACTGTAGTATACTTTTTACTCGCCAGAAAATCGTTCGATCAACTTATGATTAATCTCATCAACACTTTCATTTTTAGTTGACAATATCGCCCTCGAAATAATAAATTTTGAATCCGCACCGTTGGATTGCAAAGAAGGAAATATTACATCAATCAGAATGTCCACTAAATTAGTTTTTATCTATGTATGGAATGGACATGTTATCAGGTATACAAATAAATGTATTGTTCAATGTTTCCTCCTTTTCATCACCGACTCGTAATAAAAATTCAAAAAACCATGGGTGATTTACCACTCTCATGTTGATATTTAATCGAAGACTTTTAACTGAAGCACATAGAGGTGAAATTCGTAAGCTAGAGTCCACAATGCGTGCTCGAGTGCCACGTCTCACGACTGGAAACACTTGTCTAAAGTCACCTCCCATAACCATTATCTTTCCACCGAAAAGGAGTTTCTCATCTGTGATGTCTTGCATTGTTCGATCAACTGCTTCTATTGCATGCCTCTTAGCCATTGATGCTTCATCCCATATGCTAACTTTTGCCTCACGAAGTATCTAAGCCTTACCGCTTTATTTTGTGATCTTGCACATCGAGTTACTATTAAGATTGAGGGGAATTCCAAATCGTGAATGAGTTGTTCTCCCTCCTAGCATGTTATTAGTTGCAACACTTGACGTGGCTTATGCAAGTGCAATAAGACCACGGGCACGAATATTGGCCTACAAAGCTTTGTGTAAAAATGTTTTTTTATCACTAATGAACTTTGAGATTGCATAACTATCAACTTTGCTCTTCAAATTATAATGTGAAAATTGAATTTTGAACACCAACTTTTTATCTAAAAGTACATTCAAAGCAGATGGATAAATCTTCATATTACCCTCCTAAAAAAATGAACGGTTATAAAAATATATAGACAAAAAGTAAAAATTAGTTTTATGTAAATGAAGTTAATATCGATAACATCATTAAACTTTTAAATCAACTCGTGTGTGGTTTTTTCCAAAAGTTTCTTTACGTCACTATCAAATAACGTAAGTGACACCACACCGGTAAAGTCTTGTACTCCAATGGTGATTTTGAAACTAAAACAGTTAATATAAACAAATTCACTAATATAAAATTAGAAAATTTAACCGAATATTATAACAATGTGTATAAAATAATTATTGAAAACTTTGAAACAACAAATATGTCTTCGTTCATACAAGTTGAAGTGTAACAATAAAAAAGCTTCTTTATCTTGCTTTTGGTCATCATTCATTAAAATGACTTTTATTGATTTCTCTTGATATTTGGTACAAACCAAATAGTATCATTCCACATCAGTACACATGCTTAATCGTACCAAAAAAATCAATTTTTTTTTTCTGAGAAACATTGATGTAAGTTTAAATTATATAATAAAAAAAATGAAATATGAAGGTAAAAATAATCTAAAAACTGTTTGAC